CCCGGCGTGTGACCCGGCGGCGTCCTCACTCCGGCGACGGCTTGTTCTGGCTGCCGAGCAGCTTCGCTTCCTGCTTGTCCATGCTGGAGTTGGTGCCCTCAGCCTCCTTGTCCTGCTCGGGCACGCACGTGCAGCCCACGGCCACGGTCACGTAGTCCTCGGTGTAGACGTAGCGGCCACCGGCACAGGCGGCCGTGCGCCGCAGGATCACGGTGGGCATGTACACGGGCGTGCTGCGGAAGCGCAAGTTCTCCTCGCCGAAGGCGCCCGTGAGGCAGCCCCGGCACAGGCAGTAGGCCTCGGGAATGTACTTGGGGTATCTGGTGGGATCATACGATATTCTGCATGGAAGGAGTAACAGTCATCAGTACCTTCAAAAACATAGGTGTTTCACTGGAAAATGTTATTACAAATGTTGACAGGTATATCACATTATGCAACACTTCTTCGGGTTTTGTGTTTCGGGCGGGGGGCAAGAAGAAATAGACATAGCTATTGCTGTCGGGCTTAATTGTGAAGCAGAAAGAAGAACTCTAACTGATTCACCCAATGAAAGGATTAAGTGCCTGCCTTGCTAAAATGTGAGCCTCAGAGGTCTGGAGGCCAAACTCTTCTTGGTGGTGGCCAGTGACAGGACAAGGGGTAATGGGTACAAGTTGAAACACAGGAAGTTCCGTCTCCATGTGAGGAAGAACTTCTTTCCTGTGAGGGTGCCAGAGCCCTGGAACAGGCTGCCCAGAGAGGTTGTGGAGTCTCCTTCTCTGGAGATCTTCCAAACCCACCTGGATGCCACTCTGTGCCACGATCTCTAGAGGTCCCTTCCAACCTCCACCATCTTGTGATTCCGTGCCTTACCCACCACCGTGCTTTACTCTATAATCAGGCATGCACGATCTTGGCCAGGCAACTTTTTCTGGGAGATGTGTTAGTAAGCCATTCTCTAATGTCTCTTCTCAAGATTTTAGCCACTTTAGACCAGGCCACTGTGTGCTCCCATTGCCTTTCTAAGAGAGCTACCCAAGAGATTTCCCCCAACACAGGCAATGATCAGACAGCTGCCAGACACAATACAGAGCCACTATCAAAGAAAACTTTCACTTAAGCAAAAACCACTACTGTCATCTAGCAGATTTGATGGCAAAAATTCAAAATCTAATCATCAACTCATGCCTTGAAAGGGCTCACATCAGTTCCACCAAGTCATCCAGCCCCGAACAGACCAAATATTAATAGCCGAGTCATAGCCTGAGACTGGATAGGCAAAAACAGCACTTGGAACAGAAAGCAGACTGTGACAGCTGCTGCTGAAAGAAAAGGTCATTTTCAGAGCAGAAGAACACAAAGACTTAGTCATCAAGGAACAAATTATAAAATACCAGTGCAACAACCCCTAAAATAGGTAAGCTGAATTGAAGAGATAGGAAGGGACTACCCGAATATCCTGCATAACTGTAGCCAATTCCAAGATTAATTCCAGCTACAACAGGGCGGAGAGACCCAAGCTTGCAATGAGCTGAATGAGCAGCATGTTGCATAACGGGAAACTAAAAAGCCAAGCCAAGATCTTTAGAACCTGCCAAAATACAGAGGGAGAAAACAAAACAAAACCCAACACACACCCCCCCCTTAAAAAAATGCTTCTTAAAAAGAAAAGTTATAAATGAAAAAGGAGAGCTTAAGTAACTGATAATAAATATTACCACACATACAAATGGGTATTTGATTAATTTTGGCTTAATTTGATTAATTTTGGCTTAAAGGATGGATAGTGCTTAAGGTCATTGTTAGAGTAACATTCAGAACAGCCTTCTGGGAGAAATTTTCTTTATGTGATTAATTGGCAGCTTACTAAATTTTTGAAGATACATTTTGCTTGCTTGCAAGAGGCAAATTTAATGACCTAAGAAGTCCTATCCATTTCTATACTTGTATATTTCTTTTAAAAGAAACTTACATTTTCTCTCTTGTAGTTGAGTAAAACTACAATGTTCTCCAACTACTTTAAACTCAAAAAAACAGTTTTGAAGGAAAAAAAAAAAAAAAAGGCAGAATAGATTTAGAGCACTTCCTAAATCACAGCTCAGCGTGCCAGGCGCCAAGGGCCAGGGTTTGTGTGGACTTCTGGGCACTGACCCTTCCGTCTATCTTTGTGTCAGGGTCTCTGAGAGGAGGAGAGGCCCCTGCTCCAGCTGTGATTTCCCAGCCCCGTTAATGCAGCCAAATCTGGTTGGCAAAGCAGGCGGCGCAGCCCCTCTCGCCGGGCCTGCTGCCGGCAGCCACGCTCCTGGGCCCAGCCAGCGGGGCGACCGACCCGCGAGCGAGCGGCGCATGGCCCTGCCCGAGGCCACCACGGGCACAGAACGCGCACAGGCCGCGTGAGCAGAGTTGTGCTGCTGCAGACTGTTTTATTTTATTTTTTGCAATATATTTATGTTTACTTTTACTTTCTCAGGAAATACCTTCATGTTCCGAGATCTCACAGCACTGTGAAATAAAATGCCTGCTGGTCAGCAGAAAGGGAAAAAGCAAAATACAGTCACACATTTCCCCTTGATACGCTCCTATTTCAAACTCAACTGTGAGTAATTTCAGTGGTGGATCGTTACGTACTCCACATGCCAAGTCACTGGTATTTCCTATGCTGTGTTATCTGTAGCACCTGGTTTACGATGTTCCTGGAAAGCATGAAGATGCTTTGATGTAAACACAGGATTTTTACAAATAAAAATGTCTCACAGGAATCTTGATTGAGACATGAACTTTCCTTTCACAAATTCTCACATGACAAAAATCAGGTGCATTTGAGGGCTTTTTTTTCCAGCAAGATGGTGTGGGGATCAGAACTGACTTGCTTCTGGAAAACAAAACAGAACAAAAGAAAAGAAAACAAACTCCCCCCTCTCTTTCATTCCTGCGTGATGCAGATACCACTACTCCCTGGTAAGGGAATGAGAAAGAATCAGAGTAGATCCAAACCCCTGAAATGGATCCAAAACATGGACCTGTTTTTTGCATCCAGCCCAGACTGGAAGGGTGACTGCTGTCAGCAGCATCTCCAAAAATTGAACAGTGAACTAAGAGGTCACGGAACTTTGGTTCCATCCCCAGGTTTCTTCAGCTCACATCTCAGTTAAGAAATACTGTGTAACTACGGGCTCCGTGTGGTCCTTCTAGGCACCCCAGTGTGATTCGGGGCGGGATTGTTAAAGAAAGCCTAGCAAAGGCCAGGAACACAGGGGTGCTGGCGTGAGCTGCTGCTTCTGCTGTCGAGCATTAACCTGGTCATTCGGTGCACAGAGAACAGCCTCAGTGCCTGGGCTTCAGCGCAGCTCCGTTACCCCAAGTACGACGGGGATATTCTTCCAATATTCCTCTTTGGAGATCTCCCAAACCCGCCTGGATGCCACCCTGTGTCACGTGCTCTAGGTGTCCCTGCTGGAGCAGGGGGTTAGACTAGATGATCTTGAGAGGTCCCATCCAGCCTCAGTCCTCCTGCAATTCTGTGACCCTCTGATACGACAAGGCCATGTTTGTGTGTCCTCTTAACAGGCCAAACACGGGTGGCAGTCACCTCACTGCACACAGGCCTGCTGCAAACGCCCAGCAGCTCTTCCCCACACAGAGCAAAAGCTCAATGTGAGTTTAACGAAAGGACACCTGCTATGGAGGAGGAAATGTCTCACCAAGGGAAGAAAATGAAAAAAAAAGTTAGCTAGAGGAAAAAAAAAAAAAAAAAAGGAAAAAGGTTGCTAGCTAAAGAACAAAATGAAAAAACGTTGCTAGCTCTTAAAGCTGTAAGTGCAAGGTAAAGGGAGGATGCTCTGGACGCAGGAACGCTGATAACATCCAGCTGTTGCAGGAACATGTTCAAGCAAAAAGCGCAGCAGCTCTGCAGCCCCCTGCACTCCTTGCTGGGGGGGCAGCTGCGGCTCGTGCAAGCCCTGTCACCACGTCAGGTTAGACCCCACAAGGCTTCGTGAACATGGGAAAACCCCTCTCCCCCGTGCTGGTTTTCCAAAGTGCTGCAGGGTGTCTGCATTTACTTTTATTAAAATTTGAAGTAAATGGGCACTGAACTCACAATGCTTATAACAGCAACTGGCTTTTGACAAGTAAAACAAACTAGACAATAGTTGAGAATAGTTGAACTAGCTAAAAATGGATTTCATGGTCAAATACACACTAAGAATAAAAACTAAATCTCTCTTTTACTGTATGTTGCTTACTATGGACTCAGTCAAGAACAGGAGTCTAAAAAGAAATCCTAAAAAGATGCTGAGGAATTTTGCCGATTATTGTATATTATCATTTATCAGCAAATAATCTTGCATGGAAAACGCTGTCTCCGTGCAGGGATCTTTACTATGTTTCGAGCAGTGACAACATGCTGGACACAAAACAAACAAAAAGGCAGGCTCAGACTGAGTTTCTGGGGCTCCACACTCATTTCTGCATCCAGCATGTGAGCCTCTGAATCCTGGCTCAGGAGGAGGCTCTCAGATACAGCCACGGGTGAGCCTTGAAAGTCCAGAGACAGGAATGACTTTTCGAGGCCACATAACCCTTTTTGCTAATGGCAGAAGTGTTTGCAGAGGGAGCCAAACAGCCACGGGCGCTGTTAGACCCTCAAGACACGGCAGGGTAAAACCCGAGCCGATCCATTAGCAGAAGGGCTAATGAATCAGAGGCCGGGACTGTGGCCTGGCCCCTGACTTCAGTGGGATCACGTTTTTCAGCCCTTATGGTCATTTAGACACATGCTTAAAATTTAGCCCTTTTTGGATCAGCCTTGTCCATGCACTCGTGTGTGCGCAGCTGGACCGGGGCTGGAATCGGTAAAGATTTCCCATGCCTGAGGCTCTTGGAACAAGCGACACCCTGCTGTGCCGTACGCAGCTCCGGTGCTGCTCACACAACCCAGCACGAATCTCTGCGAAGAGACCGCTCAGATCGGCTGCGGCCGAGGAGCGCAGCCCTCACAGCACCTCCCAGTGCAAGCCGACTGTGCTGGATTCCACGGAATATCCACGGAATATCACCAGCAGCCCCTGGCTGGACATCACACCCCGGCACATGCTCAGCCCCCTGATGTCACGGCGGAGGCTGCTGCCTCTCCTTTTCCAAAGCACTGGACAATTCTCGGTGCAGCCTCCCGAGGTGGGAAGCAAATCCAGGCGCTTGAGGCATTGCTCAGCAAGACTGACCTCAGGCCAGGGATCTCTCTTGTCTCTTTACAGCTCTGTGAGGTACGGAGTGATCCGGGTGATTAAACTCGGTGCTAGGAGTGATAAACTGCTCCCCCGTGGCCACCAGGATGGAATTTCAGTATCAGGCAGATGAATTATTTTC